TCCTTCCTTCACTGATCACAGCCACATGTTCATCCTGGCAGGGTTGTGTCTTGGCTTGGCTGTGCTTGCTTGCCTTGTCCTGCTGGTGCAGTTGCAGAGCCTGCACAGAATGCCAGATGCACTTGCTGATAACTTAGCCTTTTCTCCATGCATTCATCTGCCAGGCTGGGAGTGAAATACAGAAAGTTTTTGCCCTGAATGAACATTGCAATTGAGACTGCTTGCATCAGGCCTGCCCAAGCTTTGGCAATAAAGGCCAGCCCACTTCCAAATAACTGCATATAGTTTTCAAAGCAAAAATAAATGCTCTGGGTGTCTATACTTGCTTTCTTCCTTTCTTTTCTAACAGCTTTATTAAAAATAAATTGCTTTTTAAAGAAAGCAAAACACAAGAAAAACACAGATATCGTCCCTCCAGTTTGGGTTGCTTTCCTCATCCTTCCCAGCAGAGGAAAGAGACCAGACTCCTCTCACGAGCCCAGCACTCACAGAAGGTAGCTCTGGAGCAGCCTGGCAGGAGGAGGTAGTGCCTTGCTGTCAGCAGATGGTGCCCTCGTCAGGCATAAGAAACGAGAAATACTTTCCAGAGAGCGTTTGGCACTGTGGCAGCCTTGTCTGGAATCAGTTAGGAAGAGGACAAGGTCCTCGGTTGGTGTTTCCTTGCAATGTCAACTTTAGCCCACTGGAAACATCCCAGCTCATATTCAGAGATGGTTCTGTCCCCGGAAAACTCTTTGTTATGATATCACTATTGGCTTTCGTCTACAAATTACTGTACAACTTAAATGTCAGTATTCAAAGCTTGAAGCGCACAGGGTTTGTTCAGCCAGAAGTACAAATGAAATTTAGTTTGGGCTCTTGGCAAGACTTGCTTTTACATTTATCAAACTGACATTCAAACCAAAGAAGTAAAAATATATCTAAAATATCAGGTGCCATTGAATGCCTGGAGAAACCATGACAGGAGCATTGCTTTTCTTTCCCTCCTATAATCAAATTTATCTACACTTCTGAACAAACATCTGCATGAAGTATTTAGTGTTCTTTTTTTCCCTTGGATCTGGTTTTGCATCTTAAACAGGCTGATAGCTCAGCCAGCTTGGACAGGGTGTTTGTGGCTGTGTGAAAACCCTTCAATGCTCACTGTATCTGGGATGTCCAAATGCAGGCTGCAAAGCCTTGGTGGGCAGCCCAGGTGTGTAAGTGTGACCAAACAGAAAAGGTTCCAGTTTCCAACTTCTAACTGGTCTTGTCCAGTAAAGCCATTTCTCAGCGTCAGTCTTTCTTGACTTTTAATGTGGGGCAGTAACTCAATTCCTGCAAATAGTAGGACTTGCTCAGGGCAGATATACCAAAGTGCTCTTTCTTTTCCAAATTCTCATCTTGTAGCCCAACAGAATGAAAAAATTGTCCATGTTTTTACCATCTGTCATATTAAAACTTTTTTTTAAGCAACTATTGATATCTTAGCTGGAAACACTGTTTTTCAAAGCTTTTTTCCCCCTTAATGGAATTATCTACCTTTCTTTTTCACTGTTTCTAGCCTCTTCTACCTGATGTTTTTAAATGTTCAATATTGACTTCATCTTCAGTATCATGGTGTTGGGATCTGCTCTGTAGACACTTCCTGTTCCAGCTTTTATCGTTGCTGTTCTGCTTAGCACTTGTAAAGCTCAGTATGCCTCAGGTGGGCAGGTGTTTCCAGATGTAGCTCTGCAGGAGAGGTCCGTCCTTCATCCCAGCTGCTAAAGGGATTCCTTGGTCCTAAGTCATGTTTTTCCCACCGTGTCAATTCGAGATGTCAAAGGAGGAATATTTCTGATATCCTGTGTCATACCCTCAGGTACTCACTTGGCAAGGAAAGGTCTTTGAGAGTGAGAAGTCAGAGGATATAGACCGTTACCTACATGTCCTCTCCTACCTCTTACCTGAAGATGGAGCCCTATTTACAGACAAACTCCACAAGTGACCTCTCGTGGGAGAAAGGAAGGGGAAGAAATACAACAGAACAACATCATCTTCTGGTCAGATGGGGAAAAAACTAACAAAACTCCCCGAGTAACTAGAAGGTGGAAGCAGGACAGTGTTTCAAGTTGCAGGGTTTTTCCTTATCCAAAATGAAAGTTCTTTTGGTTTGGGGTCATTGCCACAAACCAAAGGGGCAAGGAAGGAGATTTTATTTTTTAGACATATTTGAGACTTTGAGAAGGAAGCTTTTGATCATCTTCAAGGTCTTAAATAAATGAGTAGGAAAGGGGAGGCAAATACAGCCCATGTAGCTAAAGGCAGACATTGCTGCTAGCCCTGCTTCAAAAGAAGCATTTTGTGGAAAAATAACAATCCTGATAAAGGAAAGGGCATTGGAATAAATACCATAAATAATACCATTTTTTGTCCTCAAGTTGGTGCCCATGTTCTCAGAAGTGGGAGCCATGGTTTATGCCTGTAAGGATGGCAAAATGTACTCTGTTCGCCTCCTTCTTTGTCTTTTGCTGCTGAAGATATCTTCTTTCAGGTTGAAACATCACATATTTAGCTGCTGCCAAAAATGAAATTTAATTTTGATGAAAAGATTAAGGTGTTTTAAGCATGAGAAGAGTAAAAATAAACATTTCTTCTCTATTAAAGCTGATATAATAAAATGAGGTGTGTGTGGTTTCGAGTGGCTGTACAGCTAAAACAACTAAATTACAAAAACTGAAGATTAGCTGTGATTGCAGAGTGGTGTTTATCTTTGTCCTTGAGGGACTTGGTTTGGATTTCTCTACTTTTGTTCAGAGTTCAGGGTGAACTGAAGTAGCAATGTGTTGCATGTGGCACTTCACCTCAAACTAGTCACCTTGCCAAGCTGGAACTTGAAATAACAAGAATCGCCTTTGCAGAATGAGGCAAATAGGAAGGAAGAACCAGCACAGAAAAATGCAGATTTATTACAATTCTACTGATTAGTTTTTTGTCAGCTTTAACTAAATAATTACATGGAAAGTTTCTCTGGTTCAACGTGTCATTTTGAACAGGAAAGGAGAGAAGCAGGATAGGATAAAATGCCAGACCCAGTAAGTCCATCAACACACTGGATGGCTGATACACTTCAGGCTGTGGACAAACGGTTTGCAGCAGTTATAACTTTCAGATCTTCTGATGGATATTCTTGGTTTCATGAATAAACTTCCATATACTTTTAGCTGTCATGGCTCCAAATTAGGTAGAGACATTTCACAGATGAGTGACTTCCAGCAGGAACATGTGGCATCCCTTTAAGCGTCACCCTTAGTTTTGAGCTCTGGTTCTGGGCTTGAGATGCTGCCAGCTGTGCTGATGCTTTCATTGGAAGAAAAAACACATGATCTCCAAAAACATAGTAGATAGTGGAGATTATTTCTGTAAAATTGGATAGCCTGGTGTTGCCTGATACATGAGGCTGTGAATAACCCATCCGGCTTTGCACGCTATGCAGTAGAAGCAATGAGACATTGGGATGCTAGTGTACATATACAGTAAGGAAATCGTAAGTACTTTTCTGCCCACTGTCACTAGTGAAAACAGAGCCTGTAGCATTTCTGCTGCCCTGATTCTGTGCTGCTGCCTGGAAACCTGAAGGAGAGGAGGCAGTCCAAGCAACGTCAGCCTGGATCTGGGATTGCCTTGGCTCCGGCGGTTCTGCAGAATGTGACACAATTACTCACGGGGAGACCTGGGTTACTGCTAACAGGAGCGCAAATGTGTTGGCAAAAGAGTGGGGATTGCTAGGCAACTATGTCTGTGTGCCTTCTGCTTAGTTGTGGAGTATTTAATCTGCCCTCCTCGCTATTTCTTGCCTTTCTCTGTTATTACCATTTGTATTCGTTGCCTGTTGCAAAGTGATGCCATGTAACATATAGGAAAATGAGATCTTCCCCTGCAGAGTTTATGCTCTGCTACACAGGAGAGGTGGGGCACGAATTAAAATGTTCTCCGTAGTCAGCGCTCAGCATGTATGGCAAAGATCTCATCGGCATGCTGGGGTCTTGTATTTTTGTATTTTCGCTGTGTTGCTGCTGGTGATGCTCTGCTGTTGTCAGCTAAGAAGGTTAGAACTTGATTTTGTAAATATACATATTTCAGGAAGCAACCATATTTATGAAAGAGTAAAGCTAGCCTCTGGAGGGGATATCTTGAAGTATTGCTTTTGTGCTTTCAGGCTTTCTCACTTGTAAACCACCCTTCTGAACTAGGATGCAGTTGATCTCGTATAGCAGTTGTCTGGTCGTTTTTCCATCTCACTTGTGAAATGCTGCTACCTTGCTCTGCATGGAGAGCAGCACGGATGTTCCTGTGCTGCATGGCAGGCTGGCTGGCTGGCTGAGCAGCCCCCAGGGGAAGATCCTTCAATCAGTGCAAGCACAGAGCAGGATGACAGGGTATCTGGGACCATGGCCTGCTGCTGCTATGCAGATAGGGTTGTCAGCCCTGCCAATGTTTCTAAATCCAAGTAGAATTGAACATATATAAGTTTGTGTACAGTTTTATTAGATGTCTGGCATAATAGTCCAGGCTTGCAGCTGCATGGAATTTGGTAGCTATATTTTCCTTACATATTGTATTCATATAAACTATGTCAGTTGTACTTTGCAGCTAATGAAAGTTAAAGTTCAGGGGTACTTTGATTTGAATATAGGTAATTTTCTGATGCCTGCAGATCTAGGTTACAAACAGATTGATCTCAGTTTTATCAGGTGAAGATTATGGCAGAACATGAAAAACAGAGCATCAAAATCCTTCAAACAATTAAAACTGAAGAAGAGAACAGAATTACTTTTCTCTCTACTAATGCTTTGAATGACAGTAATATAATGACACAAGACATCGTGTTTTTACGTTAGATATGATATGAACCTTATCCATGTAACATAGCAGCAGCCAGAAACTTATCCACCCGAGTATTTAACACCTTACAGTAAAGTGTCTTGCAGACTTTTTATATATGTGATATGTTTTGCTATGGTTGTTATGTTTTCCAGTGTATTCGAAAAGGATCCCAATGGAGTTGATTCCACTGCGAGTTCCAGCCACCGGACCAGAAATCTTCTGGAGTTCTCAGCTAGCCAGGAGTCCAGCACAGCTCAGAAAATACCTGGGGACATCATTCCCGAGAAGAGTAATAGGTGAGATGAAAACCTTTAACATATTTTAAGTGGCAGAGGGCAATGGTGCTTTTAGACCTCACTGCCCTTCCATTTACTAACCTTTTTCGCCAGTGTTATTGCTGCTGTTAGAGAGCAACTGAGTTTACAAACACAGCATTTTGAAAGCTGATCTCTTTTATTTTTTTATTATTTAACAAAGTTTACCAGGTTGCTTTTCAAATGAATATGATGTTTTATCTCCAAGATTACCCAATACATAGAGCTTCAGAAGTGTACATGTGAGAGCTTCAGAAGTGTACACGTGGCTATGCTGTATGGTGTTAGGGACAATGTGGTGGAAGAGAGCATGTAAGCAAGTGTATGTCGTGGAGATTTTCATGACCTCCTTCAGTTCTTCATCTGTCTGCTTTTTTCCCTGATCTTTATTTTAGCTTGCATAGTTATGGTATTTGTCATACTATCTATCTCTTCTTACTTTTCAAGCTGGAGTATTTATTTTCTTAGTTACTCAAGAGAAGACCGGGGAAGTTCACGATTAAGAACATACTCTGAACTTAGCACTGTACTTTTTTAGAAATCTCTGAGTCCATCCTCATGCTTACCCATTATTTAATTATATAGCTGCTTTTAAGCTTCCTAGATCTCTAGCATTCAGTGCATAAGTGAACATATAATTGTCTCCAGATTGAAGTCTGGCTAATCCAGCTCATGTTTTCCCCTTACAAGATTTATCCTATCAGATTGTCCCTTTCCAGTAGAGTGTTTTGGCTGGTTGAACAAAGCCAGGCACAGATGTGCAGAAAGCCCTAATGTATTTTGCCATGCAGAAAGAAGGCAATAAATCAAGAACATTTTAAGGCTGTAGCCATGGTGAGGACTTTGTGTCCTATGTGGCACATTTCAGACTTATGCGACGTAGTAGTGGAGTGGTTCTCTTAGGAGGATATGCTAGTGCCTGTACCTCCTACTTTTCTTTCACTCTTTCACCCTGCTTTTTGGCAAGCTGTGAGCTCTTTGCTGCGTATTCTCCTGTATCAGTTCTAGATGGAGTAAACAGGAGAAGCAGACATGAAGATGGAGAGAAAGCTGGGAAAGGGAGGGGAATGTGAATAAGGCTTTCATAAGCTCTTATACTTGATTTTTCAGAAAGAAGTTGAGGTTTAGGAGCTGCAAGTCTCTGTCAAAACCAAGAGGACTAAGGCTGTTATATTGATACCCTATCAAGAGAGGAACTTATAATAGGTATTTGGTGATAAGTGGTTAACCCCTCAGGAGGTACAGATAACCAGGAGAAAGGAATACTAGTCTTTGCTTTGTTGCTGAGAGTGCTGTGGATTTTTGTATTGAAATACATGTTCTTTTTCACTTTTTATCAAAGCCAAGCTAGCTTCTGGAGGCTGTTGGAGATGTAAATCCTCTCCACTCAGTTGTAATGTAGTTTGTGGCTGCTCCATTGTCGTACAGCTCACGGTCTTTACATCTGTGTGGTTTTAGTGGCTAATAAATTTAGTATTTCTGTAGCAAATCTTGCACAGCTCTGCAATGAAAGAGAAAGTTGCCTCTGCAGAGATCTCATAGTTTGCATATTGTGAGGAATATTTTACAGGCTTCATTTTCTTTCAATATCTGGCCTGTTTGGGAAGAGATCCAACATCTGCTAATGCTCATCTGTCTACCCCGTGTTAAGTGCTATCAGACCCCTTTGGGGAATTGACTGAGACCATTGGATGTTTGATAGAAATTGTTATTCACCTGTTTCAAAAGTCCCATAGGAGCAGCTGTAACCTTTGTGGGTTTGCCGATGGTAGTGCTTATTCTCTGGATTTGGTCAAAGGTTCATGAAAAACTACTTTAAGGGATTTCTTGATGTCTTTGTCTTTTTTTCCCAGGTATGATCGTTCTGTATCTGATAACAAAGCACTGATGATAGTCTCGGAAGAACCGCTGTTATATATTTCACCACCACCACCTCCCTGTCAGCCCCTGATCAACCGGACAGAGTCGCTGAGGTGAGCAAACAACCTTTTCTGAGCATTTAAGCTTTTATTAGGAGTTTAGGTATAAATTGTGTGTTGGGTGAGTGCTACTGGACAGACAGCTGTGATGATGTTATTGTCCATTCACAGTGCTCATCCAGTATGTGACCAGTGCCTCTGTAAGTGTCTGCACTTGTCCAGTATCTACTACCATGGAGACAGGAGATCAGCTTGAATCTTTGTCACCTTTTTATGTTTCTAGTAATGATTTTCACTCAGTTAACTCACACTGATAGAAAACACCTAGCTCCACTTTTTCCAAAGATATGAGCGCATCACTAACCTTATCTAAATTCTGCTCTGTCTATTCTTTCTCTCAAATTTATTTGCCTTCTTAACCAATATTTTGTCTTGAACTGATCAACTTTTGATTTTAAATTTCAGTAGTCCTTCCAGTAATTTCAGAATTACTGTTCACTGGGCAAAAGAAAATACTGTATCTGCTTTATGTTGAAACTTCCATGATCCCAATACTTTATAGATATTTCCATATGAATTCCCTCATAAATTTAATCTTGCAATTATGTTTTCTTACTTTGGTATTAAAAACAAGTGTTCATAAGGTAAAAGAGTAGTAATCTACAGTGTATTTATAGTGGCTAGTTAAAATGTTTTCTAAAATTAAAAAATTCTGCCACTGTTCTTTGAAACATCTGTTAACGCTGTGGGTTTTTCTAGGCTGAATCACGAACTTCGAGGATGGGTTCATAGACATGAAGTGGAACGAACGAGATCTAGAAGGCTGTCAAATAACCAGCAGCAGAAAGCACGGGTTATGCAGGTAGGTAGGTTTATACTGGTGAGTCAATAGCATGACAAGATAATTTCAGACAACATAACAAAATATTCTCTCTTACTTGTCTGCACTTGTCATTATAGACAAAAGTAGCAATGGTCCCTGTAATTAGGGTACCCAACACTTCCCATTTTAAATTGCTGGGTTTGGTTGATTATTATGTTGACAAAGTTCTTCCATTCTTGCTCTTGGATTCAGGCTAAAAGTCTTTAATTTTTTTAGCATTCATCAAAATATGTTCAGTGTTTTCTAAAACGACTTATAACTTCTCTGTAAGTCTGTGCAAGGGTAAGGATAAACAGTTGGTTAATGGAGAGAAATATAACCTGCAGCACATTCATCTGGCTTATGGTTAAGGGGCACAGCTGATTGGTTTTGTTGAAATATTTCTATTTCATTTTTTCAGATTTTTGCTAGAGGGATGTGTTTTTTGTAAGACTACAGAATTATGAGATTTGTGCTCATATTTCCCATTTTTTAAAATCCCTTTCATCTACATGGCATACTGATAGTGAGGATGAAATTAAGACCATGAATTTTCAAAGTGTTTCACTTGATTAAGAGCTAGCAACAGCCTTAAAAGGAATTGAACTTCACAATGTGGGAAATACCACATTTTTCTAGAGAAAAATTATTGAATATTAAACTTCAGATTCTTCTCACTGTTGTCCAAAGGAGAATGGTAGAACATTTAAGTAGGGCGAGTTCGGGTGCTTCTAGTGTTTCAGACTGCAGAAGTGTGTTGTGGATAGTATATTTTGGCAGAGGTACAAAGTGGATGTGACCTCAGAAGTATTCTGCAAATCTGACATCAGTGAAAGCGAATTTTGCACGTGGATGACGCAGTATGTGCAACTGTTGTGTTTGGTGCCAGCTTCACTTCTTTGTCTCTGAATGTGTGACTTTAAATTTGTCTGTATTAAAAGACTTGCTTTTTCTTTGGCTCCAGCTTGATTGCTGGTTGCTATTTCACTTATTCACATTTCACCAGTGAAAAAATGTACCTTTATTGTTCGGGGCACCGATTAACCTCTGCACCCCATTATATATTCACTCTGCTACAGATGTGATTCATGTTTTATGTAGTGCCAAACCAAGAAAATGCTTACTGTTTTCAATTTGTGTCATCTTTTTGTTTTCCCCCTTTTTCAGAGCTCCCTCAGTGAGAAGGCAGATTCCCAGCTAATGGCCATGCCTTACACAGACACCAGCCTCAGGTAAGGCAGCAGAACTGCTTTGTTATTGCTTTCTACTTGATAACCTAGTTTTTCATCAACAGCTTGTAAAAAATGCCAGTTTTCACCTTGTCACGATTCTTAAGCCAGGTGCTAGCTACATTTATTGGCCTAATTTCTGTCCCTTAGCAAATAACTGCTTCTAATGACTCAAACTACACTTAAAGAAACCCCTGTATCACAGCACCACTCTTCTGGGATATTTCTACCAATGAGTCTTAAGAAAATCTTTACTTCACTCTGCAGGGTCTCTTCCTAAACAGATTTTAATCTTAAGGGGGAAAAAAAAGGGGGAATTGTCTTGGGATTATCTGGAGGAACATGATTAATTTATAAGAAGGTTTCAAAGGGCCGTGAGTTCAGTAAGAGAAAGGTTTCTGTCGCTGTCTTCAAGAGTAGCGCCGTTATAGCTAGCACCAAATTATTTTGACAAAGTTGAAGTATCATTACGTCTTATTTGTACGGTATGTCTTCCTCTATTGATTTTCCCTGCTGATTATTAGAACACAATAACATGGGGTTTCCTGATTGCCCCTGCCCTCCCTCCCACATACCTATCCTGACCCTCTTGCCTAGGTACAGGAAGAACTGGAGAGAAAAGGGTAAGGAAGCAAAAATTTTCTCTCCTGAATTCTCTGTGGCAGTGTTTAGAAGGATCTCTGCTTTGAATTGCCAAAGAGGAGTATAAGAGCAGAATGGAGTATAAAGGGGACTTCTTGTTGAGAAGAACACCTGAAATGTTGCCATTGAAAGTAAGACAGCTGTGGCCCTTCTGTTTGCATTGCGGCTTTGAAAGCAGGATCAGCCTGGGAGAAAATAGCAAGCTGCAGGCAAATGTTATGGAAACCAGACTGCAAATCTTTGATACGTCTTGACTAATAAGAAAAAAAGAAGAAGCTTTTTTAGTTCTACAGGCAGATGAAGGATGTATGTTTTAACTGAAGACTGGACGAACAAGCCTCATGGCATAAGGCAGTTTAACATACATGCTTGCATTACTCTTAAAAAAAAATTCTCTGGATTATTAGAAACAGTCTGGAACATCATGCAGCTCTGTATGGCATAATCTGCTGTGCTCAGAAGGAAGTGAGATTTTTTTTTTTTGGATGAATGATGTTTAAATGAACAGGACCAGTGAGTCGTGGCAGCTGCGTGCTGTGACTGTCCTGGAACTGCTGAGAACGTAGAACAGACTTCCAGTTCCTCCCAGAGCCATCAGCTATTAGATGCTGCATGAAATCATAGGGTCAAAGGGTAGTTTAGGTTGTAAAGGACCTCTGGAGATCTCCAGTCCAACCTCCTACTCAAAGTAGGTTTAACTTCAGGTTTACTGTGTGTCTCTGTCAGAAGAGACTGTTTCCATCTCCATTGTAACCCCCATTAAGAAGCTGAGGATTGCCGTTATAGCCCCCTCAGCCTCTTCTCCAGGCCGAACAAGCCCAGTTCCCTTTGTCTCCTGTCACTCCTTGTACATCCTATGCTCCAGGCCCTGACTGTAATGCCAGCCCAGTATGCAGTTGCCCCCAGACGCCCTGCTGGCTCACATTCATCTTGCCTGCCAGCGATCTGTGTCCTTCTCTGCAATGCTTGTGCCTCATCGATTGAAAAGATGGGAAAGGTGCTGTTCATTCAGTTCTGTCATTGATGCTACCCCTGAGGCATTGCCTTTGGAGAACTGTTAATGCACTAGCAGCATCTCTGCAAATGTGTAAAACTAAAAACTAAACCACTTGTAGGTTTCCTGATACGTAACATAAATGTTTGTAGATGGCCCTGAAGTTTTTATTAATGATACAAGTGCCTTTTTGTGGAGTGTACAGTCAAAGCTTTTAATTTTTAATACCAATGCTGTGGCTGGAAGTTGAGTGACCTTTACCTTCTACAACACCCTTGTTGGTGACCTGAATCCATGAAGAGGAGGACATTAGCAGGATCTAGATTTATCTTTGTAGCACTGATGATACCAACATTGTCACGTTGGTCCTGGATTCCAAAAGACAATTGATTAATTGAAAAGTGTTGCAGTGAAGTCAAAGCAGAGGAGGAATATAAAAATTAAGATGATTTCAAAGAAAACCATTAAAACCCCTCAGCTTTCTATAGTCTATTTGGCTTTCTTCAGAGGTAATTTTGATGAGGGTTTCTGCAAGTGTGTTTTTAGGGTTGCAGATGTCAAACTGGGACTCTCCAATTATTTTCCTGTTTCTAAATTTTGTACTATTAAAATTGTGGTTCTTGGTGCATAAAGCACTGTGTCCACAACCTCATTCCTTCTTAAAACAAGCATATGTGCAACATCCTAGTGCTCTGTGATGCATAATAGAGTGCACTTCGAACTTTTAAAACAAAAAAAACTCATTTATCTCCCAATAAAAGGCCAGACTCAGCAGCACTGTTTTGGATACATAATTTAGTATGATGCTTTCTTGTAATATGGTAAGGTATTACTAAAACACCTGGTAGCTTTGCACCTGTTTTCAGTTCTGAAGTTCCTCCCTTCCTTTCATGGAGCAGTCCACAGTGGGTACCCTTAAGTGCCGAAAGGTAAGAATGGTGTAATACCAGTAATCCACTGGTATTACTTGGAATTTGGGACTAGTGTTAGACTTGTTCCATGGACCCAAGAGGGCTTTGTAAAGGCCCAGTAGTTTCCAAGTGCTTTGGAACAACTTTCTCCCGTGGCTGGATTTAGAGTTATAAAAGGCTGGTTTTTAGGTCTAGCTGTATCTTCTGGAGTGTGGGCGAGCAAACGGATCTGTGGGACCTGTTTCAGTTTTCAGGATGTGTTTTACTGAGCAATGCGTGGGCGTGATGCCTTTTATCACAGTAAAGCTTCAATGCTGAATCTCAGGGGTGGTTTGGTGGGCCTACATGTTTTTATGAATGAGTAATCGAGCTCAGATTAGCTCTGATCTTTGTTTCCTGTGTGTGAAGGATGTGATCTGATTCCTCACTTGCATAGTTCTGCTAAAGAGGATACATAGGGTAGAGCTGCCTGCTTTTGATCCCCCAGGACTTACACCCCCAATCCTGTTACAGGACAACTGGCTTGGCAGCTGCAGTCCTTCGATTGCAACAGGACTGTATTAGCAGTAGGAGAGGAGATAATGACAGTCTACTGTTACTGCTGCTCAAGAAAATCACTTGATGGTAGATTTGTGCCTTGTTTTGGGTGCATAGTTATGAATATTTTAGAAACGTACCAAAATAATCTAAGTCAGCCACCATAGTTTAAAATCTGGGTCAGCAGAAGACAGCTTGGGAGGGATAGCCTGATCAGTGTTTCTGCCACAAATACTGCGAAGAGACAGTATGCTATTAAGGTGGGAAAGAATTAAAATGACTGGTTGAAGGTCTAGCTAATGGTTTGTGTAAGTACAGCTTTCCAGTTTGATTAAATATGTTATTTTTGAATGGGATGGGGGAAGTATACATGATAGCAATATGCGCTGGGAATTTCTCACCTTTCCAAGATAAACAGTGGATAAGTACCATGATTGTATGACTTGCCAGTGTTTTTGCTTAGAATAGTTTAGACAGAGTCTCTTTTCCTCATCTCTGACATGTGTAAGACGAGAATTGTGAAAAAGATAAGCCAGAATTATGTGAATATCTTATTTTTGCTCCACTGTCTATATTGAAAATCAAGAGCAAATCTTTGCATTGACTAGAGAGTTGCAAAAAAAAAAAAAGGTAGGTGAGAGAGAAGGTGGGGTTGTCACTTGACAGTAAATTAAAAGCTCTGCTTATGCTTAACTTTGCACTTCTTTCAATTTGAGTGGTTTGGATCCTTAGCGGTAAAAAAAAAAAATAATTATTAAATGTTTTGATTTTTTATTTCAGAATGACATTTCATTTTAAAATTTGCTAAAATCTACTTTCAGAAGTCATCACGATTTTTCAGACACTGTAGGTTGACTTGAACCTTTTTTTTTTTCTGTTGAGCTAGCAAGCATGAATAAAATCAAGCCTGGAAAAGTTTCTTGCAGCAAGACCTTTAAAGCACCTTGAACTTTCAAAATATACCCAGTAGTTTCACTGTCTTCACTTGTGTTTAATGTTCCTCATGCTTCTCTCAATGGATGAAGAGCTGCTGTTCTTTTGAAAAGCAGGTCTTTAAAGTCACTGTCTCACTGAAGTGAACTTTCTTGTCTAAAGTAATTACCTTCCCCCCAGCAAGTGTATTACGCCTCTCCAAGGAGCTATCAAGATTTTTTTGAAGCTATTCGCAGAAGGGAAGATACATTCTACGTGGTGTCATTTCGCAGAGTAAGTGTAGTAGTTGTTCAATACTGGCCTTTTATGCGTATCCATAAGACTGTTTCTAACACTGAGTGTCTTTCCTTGTAATACAAAAAGATGAACTAGTCAAAGTTGAAGCTAAATTTGTTTCTTCATAAGTGATGCTTCTGTATATCCTTTACAGTAATATGGCCGGATTGTGATCTTTGCAAAATATGCGCATCAGAGTTAGGAATGGAAAGAGAGCTTTGCAGAAAAAATTGTGGTGCCAGGGCAAGACAGCACAAAATTGCACGAACCCTGTGGTTAACACACATGTAGCAGTCCAATGATCGGAATACTTAACTGGATATTTATTTAATAGGTGTATAAACCTTTTGTGTTTCTGGGTATAGGAATAAATGTACCCTGTGCACAAATTATTTCTGCTAGCTTAACATGATATTATTTCTATCTTCCCCTAAAATACTTGCATTTGCAGTTTTATGTGTCATGTATTGCAGCTCTACAGGACTGCGTGCAGTGGCACAATTTTTCTGCTGTTTTGTGACTTGTAAGTCAAGACATGAGCAATTCTGCTGTGTGAGCTGGGATACAGCATAGGCTTGTGCTACAGCTTTGTCAGGCACATCCTCACATCTGCAGCGCAGTTAGTGACAGTAAAAGCTGTTTTAAAATGGAATTCCCGGTGTTTGATGGCATTTTTTGTACTGCAAGCCTGAGTGGCGTCGAAGGCGGGACAGCTGCAGTAGTGAGAAGCTGCTTGGGTTCTGGTGATGGACATGATCAAGGCAAACAGTGGTGGAAACACCAACTAGGGGTTGATAGAGTTTATTCCCTCCCTTTTGCAGAGGTCTTGATGAGTCCTTAGACATGTCTATAATGCATATTTGTCCCTGGTGTGAACGTGGGGACTTGGCTTGCTAAGCCTCCTGCCTTGCTATTTTGTAGTTGTGATATTCGATTAGAATTTTTATATGCATGCTCACTCTCAGCCATGGTTTTCCTAGGACCCTGCAACTCTCCATTTGTTTCCTCATCACAGGAGTGTCCTGAGAGGGGTCCCAAGGTGGTGGGGGACCAGTAGTTGCCACTGCAACAGCTCATCCATCTACAACCAATCCTGTGTAAGAGCACACAGATGAGCATAACTAGTTTTAGCAGTTTCTGTGTTGTCATAATTCTACCAATCTGTAGATGCCATATGTACGTAGGTAACACAGCCCTGTTCAACCTGGTCTAAGGTAACTTTCTTAATTTGTGAGATACATGTCTTTAGAAAAGGTTCAGGCAAATAAAAATAGCAGTGCTCTTGTTAGGATTAGGGTTTTATGCTGAGTAGAAATATGAGGTTAGTTTCCAGTCTTGGGATTACTGGGTTGTGTCACAAGGCTGGAATTTTGTTATTAAACACTTGGCATGTTCTGCTGTTCTTTCAGCTAGCAACACAAATATAGCCGGCACCAGGCTCCACATATCCTGAGGATGAGTAGAAGAGAGTGAAGAATTGATTATAAAAGTTTTTGTGGAAACTCAGAACAAAAAGCAGAAGGGTATTTGTCTAGTTCTTCACTTCCAGCCGTTGCTTTAGTCCACCTGAATGCATGTACTGGTACATAGGTTCTGTTTACGCTGTCAGATTAATGACCTGGAAGTTGTCAGCTCTCATTTCAATTTGCAGAGCTGTCCTTGGAAACAGAGTGCGCCTTGTGCTGTGGAATCCCTACTGCTTGGCTCTGCTGTATTGCAAGGAGAGGTGCGGGGACTTTTTTGAACCATCTATGAAGTTTATTTGGTAGCAAAGCTGTTGGCATTTCTGTTTTATGAATGTCCTCAAATCGAAGGCAGTTTTATGCATTACCTCATTTATTATTTTAACAGGGCAAACCTGATCTAGTGACAAGCTCTGCCCCCAGGCATTTTTAAATGACCTGCTTGGATTCTTTTGTGAGTGCAGAAGAAAGGACTTCTGCACAGCCTGAGGGGTGCCATCAGCAGGGCCCCAGCCAGGGAGGTGCCCTTTCACCTTCTCCTGAGGACTGGTGACTTCATTTTCTTTGGACCACAATTCCCTTTTCACTGATGATTAGGAGCTGAGAGAGGGGGACCGATTTCCTCCTTAGTGTTATGGGACAGTTCACTCATGTTGCTTGCTCACTTGTCCAAGGTAGAAGGCAAGGCCTGGAGATGATAGGTTTTGTTCTCCTCTCTGAATGTTTGCCACGCAGACGCTCCCAGGCACTTAATAAGCTGTTAACAGCCATATTACAAAAGAACAGGAATCATGCAGTTAAGAGTCCCAGGGACTGTATGGTTCTGGTATCGGTGATGGTCCTGCTCTGAGCAGGAGGTGGGACTATGGATCTCCAGAGATCCCTCCCACCCGATGTCTCTGGGATCCTCTGTCCACATGCTTTCTGCTGTGTGCAGTGCCACATAACCCAGCATCTCTTCTGGGTGCATATGCTGAAACGTAACACATTTTTTGTGTGTTTTCTGCATGTTCTCACATGCGCTAGAGGAGCTGTGCCCTGAGTTCCTTGGATTTTCTAGAAAATGGTATTTTCTAGGGCTGCCCATGCCACTTTTACATAGTAGGACTCAGCCAAGTCTTCTGAAGGTGCAAGGTAGGGGAGCAAAGCTCACATGCACTGTGTCATCCTCTGGTAATGCTTGGTACCTGCAATTATGACTGAATTTCTCATGATCTCTTCAACTTCATTTTCTTTCCTTGCCTTGGAAGTCTTGCATGTCTGCATATTTACAGTTGGAGTTTGATTTTTCTTTTCTTTTTTGAGGAGGGAGGAAAATAAAGTATTTGGATCAGCTGAGTCCATACAAGAAACAGGGCTTTCACTCTGGGAGTCTAGAGAAATTAATTTTCTGCTATTGCCAGGGGAATCTCTAATGTCATTTTTAAGCAATGAGAAGTATGTAACTGACAGTGAGTAAAGAATTCTTGAACTGAGCAGTGTTGTCTCCCAGCTCTGCCAGGCCTCAGCAGCCAACATCCCTTGTAGGCAGGGCTCATCACCATTTATTTCTTGAGATGTTAGCTTGTTAATTTTATTTTTTCTTGCTGAGAACAATGGCTTCCTAAAAGTTAAGCAGCAGTCATTTAGCATTGCAGAAACTGACATCTGGCAATGTAACAAGATATGCATTCCCAGTAGTATATATTCACACCTGGGCCCTCTGCTGTCCCCAAATGCTCCAGCACTCAGAAGCTACATCTTTGCAGCTGCCTCTAAGTTGGGCTGTTCTGGATTGGTTTTGGGAGCACGTTCAGAGCTGAGAGGTCTGTGCAGCTGGTACCAAGAACAAGTTGCCATGCTTCTGTGAAAAGGGTACGTCAGTGTGAGCTCTGCTGAAGCACATTAGAGTCTCCAGTTGGCGTTGAACCTTCCTTCCATTTCTCCCAGGTCTGGGAGGCAGAATCGAGAGCATGTTGCTCTGCCAACACTTTTGATTTCTGCCCTTTAATGTCTGTGATACCAAGTCTGCTTGATCTGTTCTAAAACCCCAGTGGAGCGCGGCTGCAAAATCCAAGTTAGTTGATATAACGTGCTCTGTCAGTAGGGAGATAGACACCTGGCTTCCGCTGCAGTTCTCCTATAAGCCTGGCACTGAAACAGTTCTCTCTTAGAGCTCACATCTGTTTTGCCATGGAGTATTCAGACCTTGAGATTGTTTCTAGAATTACTTGAATAGCTAGCTTAATTTGAAAGGTAATTAAGTAAATCATTGGAGAAAACAAATCCGTTCCAATTTACTTTGGCCTGTAAATGCCACTCCAGATCGTTCCACTCTTGTGTGGTTAGGATCAGAGTCCCCGCAACTTGCAGTGATTAAGCAGTAGATTTCCCCATCCTGGAAGATTCTGTCGGTGACCCTTTGATGACATCTCTGCAGGCTTATTAAGGACAGTGATGTTTTTTAGGGTAAGAATGTAATTACTGTTCTTAAGAAAGGCATGGTTTAAAGTTTGATTCGCTTGGGAAATTTAGAAGGCCACTAGCATTTCCTCTCACTACTTTCTCTGTTTGTTTCAAAGCACAAATAGCTCCTGATATCAAAGTTTGCCTATTACATTTAATGCAGTGCACGTACAATATCTTACAGTGTATTGCAGTAAAAAAATAGATATTAAAAGCTGATTCTGGTTATTATTTGTTAGAACGAGAGTGATGCTGGCCCTATGGAAACGAATGGCAAAGCCTTTACCAACTTCAATAGGACCAGAATTTGACTTTGTAAATTTCTGCTTCAGTGCTGTGGCACTTAAACCATAGAGCTTCAGGGAAACGTATTATTATGGATTTAGATTTCTGGTCCTACAAGCCAACATCTGCAACGAGGATTTAAGGATTTCTCAAGTCCTGCAAACAGATTTTCACTGAAGTGATTAAGCCAAATTTCAATCAGAACTTTTGTTCTTTCTTTGTGTGAACGCTCAATGTGCTAGGAATAAAAATATCTAAGTTGTGTTTTGCTTTTGTTGGTAATAAGCCTGTGCTGTGTTAATTGTATTTGGGATGATATATTACTTTCAGGCAGCAAAAGATTATAATGCCTGGCTTTGACATTCTTGTGTAGCAGTAGTTTGCTGTGTTGCACACAGAGTTCTGGCAATAGTTTGAATTTATTCAGAGAGCCATGAGTGAGGCAGGTTCCAATTCACTGCACTCTTGATGCAATCTGCATCCTGCAGGCAAAACTGCATTATAAGAAGTCGGCTTCAGATGATATTTCATAGTCAGAAATCCAGCCCTAATGTATACTTTTCTCCTATTTTGTTACACTTGACAATAGGTGGTTTTTACTGAACGTGAAGTTTTCTGCTGTTGGCTTTGTGGATTTCCGTGGGCTGGGATGTGTAATTTGGTCTTCCATTCAGATAAAATGCAATGATTAGACTCACATAATCCTGCTGCTCCTAAAGACACGGTAGCTAATTATGTGTTTGAGCCCTGTGGGTTTGCAACTGCTGCAAGTTAACACGCAGATTTTCGAAAGATTTTACAAAG